TTAAGATATCGGTAGAATCGAGGATAGATCGATGCATAACAGAGACTTTGGAGCAAGACTTTTAGGGCTAAAAGATTCACGACGAGTTTGTGTAAAGATCTTGCAATAATTTTGTTTAAATACTGTGTTTGAATCAAGGAATCCATATATAATATTCTTGTATTTTCATTGTTATTTGGACATAGTGATTTACTAAAACTCGTGTAAATTTTTCACAAAATATAGTGGATGAACAAAAAATTTCAATGGGAAACCATTGGATATGTATTAAGCTTAGCAAGGACGATAGTTGAAACATTATAAATCTAGCATACCTCTCTCTCTCTCTCTCTCTCTCTCTCTCTCTCTCTCTCTCCCCCTTTTTTATTTCGTAAAAATTGCATGTTAGGTTGTTCCTTTTTTATTTCGTAGAAATTGCATGTTAGGTCGTTCTTCATTGATTTCTAGAATATCATACCATTATGTTTTCATTTTGTAGAAACTTATTGATTAAGTGTATGTTTTGTTAGAACCGACACTTTGATTTTGTCTTGTTGGTGATTAAGATGAAATTTTTTATAATATAATTCATCTATATTTACATATATGTTGTTTACACATCTTGTGTAAATTCATCATTAATTCAATAAAATACATTGGTTATTCTTTGGTTAGATTATTAATTTGATCTTTGTCATATTATGTACTCATTATGTTGTTTGGTATATATTCCAATCGATAAGTATAATCACGCTATAGGAAAATTTGTTTCTACCACACAAACTATTTTATTTTTAAAACTCTGAAAAAAGAATTTCAAATCAGTCATTTTTAATTAGGAGGTCTATTCACCCCCCTTCCACCCTCCTTTAGACTGTTGTAGACTCCATATTCTCGCCCAACAGAATAAAGAAAGGTAGATTGAAGAAAGAAATATGGAAGTTGAAGAAATACTCATTCTTTCATTAAGCGAGAAGGAAATGTCAAATTGTAATTCTTGGACTATTGCACAAAAATCAGTACACAAGAAAAATTGGTTGAACCATTATAGCAAGAAGGTGTGGTGCTCTTCATTTTTTTAAAGTGCTTGTTTTCTTAGAATTTGGGGGGCAAAACTTTGGAATACCCAAATCTAATTTTGGAGAAAAAATTCCACAGTCGGAGAATCAAAGCATTATGGTTTGATGAAGCCTCAGTCCTAATAATAGACAAACCAAAAATTACTTCTACATGAAAAAGGACATATATGATCGCATCCAAAGAAAGGAAAAAGTGTTAACATTTACAAACTAGTAAACATGAAGTATAAATAAATGTTCCATGACAAAATTCACGTGTTCAAAAAACTTTAGATGTGGTCAAATATTCTCCATTTTTTCAATCTTAACTTTTAGATTTCTCCATTCAAGCTAGCTAGGTGAGGTTTCTAGTTGTTGGTTGAGAAAAAGTTTTAAAATGGCTTGATTTCACCTCAGTGGATGACCATCTATTAGAAATTGGGAAGTTTAAGTAGTCATTAGATAACAAGAAAGACACAAGAAGCATGGTGCCATCACCTACAATAGAAAATAAAGGACATAAGGTTAAATAATCATGGGTTGGGATCATAACATTGAGTTAAGCATGTGCTTTTTGTTCATAGAGTATACTTGTGAATTTAATTTATTTCTATGAAGTGGAGTTTATAGGGTGTCATTACCACCATAACGGTGTTCACAATTTTGAGAATTAGATGAAGATTTTTTTTTGAAGGAGGTTTTTTCTTTTCAAAAGAGTAAGGAAACTATGGGTAAATTGTACAACATAAGGAGAATGTATATCGAGTGAAGCTATTTACAGGGAGGGTCCAAAAATTTAGGAAGATTAATCACTTGAGGAGTTTAGCAGATCTAAGTTATTGTTGAAAAAGTCAAGCATATCAGTTTGTCGCCCTTTTGTTGGTGGAGACAATATTTCTAATGGCTAGATTTTTATTTTATGGTGAAATGACAGATTCTTTTTATGTGTGATTATTTTTTGTTGCATCACATCATCTTACGAATCAGAGTTCATTGATAATGTAACATAATAATACATTTGTTTACACCTAAAGATAACTATATGTTAGTCAAAATCGACAATACATGTAAGCAATATATAAGAGAATTTTCGTCTAGTCAAGGTATGGCCAAATGAGTATGAACACAAGTACAAATGAATTAACCGAATCTTTCTCGAATCTACTATAGGCTATCATGGTTTCCAATACCTTCGAATCAGTCAAAACACGGTAGAATTAGACAATTAAGCAGTATGACCATGTTCCATACTAATAGCGCTATTAACTAAAGAGGGAGAAGATTATGCAACACAATATAAGCACATTAGGGATATGATCAACGAAACACATCGATAAATAAAAGACATCAATTTGTATGTGGGATTCTATGGATTCCAAAGCAAATGGAACACTCATACACTACCCACATAAAATAGTTGGATGCAACACAATTTATATAGTTTACGATTCTATGGCTAATAGGGTAGTTCCTCTATAAATACACAAATAATAAATTATTCGGGACATTTAATCAATCAAGATCTTTTACATATTTTATATCTTTATTTTACTTTACTTTTTATGCATCTCTTAATTTAGCAACTGAACATCCTCGCATACCGTACTTAACTTTATTTAGATTAGTTAAAAAAACTCACATCTGAGAGGCAAATTTTCTTACTCAACACAATCACTTTGAAGATAATGAAATCATAATAGAGAGTTATAAGTTAACGTTTGATTAACTTTCAATGTTTGACACTAATATTTCTTCAAAATTATTAACCAAATGCACAATTTAAAAAGTATTAATAAAAATTTAAGTTCTTCAACTAATAAAAATATAATGAGGTATAGGTTATCTATTGATATTTATAATTTTTCCAAGATGACATAATGCCAATAAAATTGAATTACATAGTGTCAACCATTATTATTTTTATTTCAAATTAATTTATTCTCATTTCAATTTAACAAATTATATTTTAGATTTTTTATTTTTGAAGAACTTATGATAAAATTAGAGTTTTGTGTAACTTACAACAATAGTCAAGGCTTATCTCATTAAGTAAGGTTGACTACATGGATCAATTTTCTCCGTAATACTCTATCGAGAACTATACTTATATCTAAATGATCTAACTCATTTTAATTAATTAATTTGTAAGATAAAATGTGTCATTCTATATAAAATTTTATTAGAGTTTATTTTTAATTAATATGAGATTTGAGTTTTTTCTAATACATATCTCACATTCAATAATATTGAGTTTGGTGCAAATATATGAATGGTGAATGACTTGATTTATAAATATATTTTTCTTTCCCTCGCAACTAATTAGCTTGATGCATATATAGATATTGGATCATTCAAATTAATAGGTTTATGATAACATAATAAAATCTAGAGTTTAATCCAACATTTCTTCGTAAAACCAATTTGTAAGATGATGGTATCATTATATATAAATATTTATGAAACTCTATTTTTAACTAAGACATGAATTTGTTTCAATAATTTGTATATTTCAATTTTTTTCAATAATTTATATTGTAAGTTTTATTTGTTGACAATATTCTATTGTTGTGAATAATACCTGCAACATAGTTGACTCCATGTTACTTTATTCAGAATTGTTATGTTGACACTCTTTTCTATATTTACACCTAATTTACTATTTACAAATACTTGAACAAATTCCTCAAAACATGATTAATAGTGTGTATTTTATTGGTTAATGAAGTAATGAAAGTGGTTAATAAATTATAGGTAAAATAATTGGCTAATGATGTAGATTTTTGTGGTTAATGCAACTGTGAAGTTGGTTAATTCGCAATCTTATATTTATGTTATAAAATAAATTTTAAAAATAAATATATATTTTTTAAAATATTAATATTTTAATAAAAAAATACTGTTCACCGTATAAATACGGTAAACAGTACATACGATGTAAATATTGGGCGTAGAAAATAGTGTAAAAATAACATTTTTCTACTTTATTTCATCAATATCATGGCATATTGAAAAAATTATTCATAATTTATGAGGGTCATAATAAAAAGTTTGGTAACTTGAACAACACAATAGAGATCATTTGTTTGTATTGATCATTCTAAAAAAGTTTAAACACAAATAAATAATGTTAAAAAATATCATATAATATTAATAAATAGATAGTTTCTTAATAAAAATTTATAAATTCGATGAAATTAATAGAAATAATGAACTCTTAAAAACTAAAATGCATGAAAAAGAGGACCAAAGCAACTAAAAAACTAAAAGAAATTTTTTATCTCATATCTTTACTTTTATTTTTATATTTTTATATTTTATAAAAAATATCAAATTTATTTTTATATATTTTTAATTATTTAATTATTTTATTTTTTAAATATTTTTAAAATTGTATTATACGTACCAGAAGATTTTATAAAAAATTATGATAGTCATTTTTTAAGTATTTTTTAATTTTTTTTATGCACTAGAAAATTTGCAAAAAATTTTAAAAATTGACATATCTCACATAATCCCTCATGATTCAAGTTGATATCATCCACACACGCAACAATATTAATCAAACATAAACTATAAAAAAAATTGCAAATTCTAAATAAAAAATAAATATAAAACATTTAAACACATTGACTAACTTAAAATATAGTTCATTAATATATATTTTCCCCAAATGAAACATCAACACAATGAAAAGGAAAATATTTCTCCATAGCCTCACATTTCAAATGAAGAAACAATTACATATATATAATTCTAATATGCATAGATAAAACATTATAATTAGTAAAATCTTAAAATACTGAAATAAGAACATAAACTCATACTTATTATTATTATTATTATTATTATTATTATTATTATTATTATTATTATTATTATTATTATTATTATTATTATTATTATTATTATTATTATTATTATTATTATTATTATTATTATTATTATTATTATTATTATTATTATTTAGTTCCTTTTTCCTAGGGTGTATTTGTTATTATGCATCCACACTTTCAGAATTTGACATTTCACCCCAATTTCATTACAAAATTCTTCCACAAGATTCTCGTCTTTCTTAGGAACCTTCCAACCCAATTTCACAGCAAAATCAAGCATCTTTTTTCTTTGTTCATGAGTGAATTTAGTCCTGAACCTCTTCTTTGAGTTTGACGATCCTTCTCCGCCACCATTGATGGGTTCTACAACACAAACACTGTCTTCAATATTCTCCCTCGATAAGTGGTCTCTCCCATGCACAACAGAAGAAGGCAAAGCATGATAAGTCATGGTTCCCCTCGGCGGCCCATTAACATGAAAGTAGCCGGTCGACGTTTGAAAAACTGTCGAAATGGGAGTCGGTTGAGGAAAACGGGGGATGTTAAGAGTTGAAGAAGCCTGCTCTTCCGTAACAACAATAATTTCTTTACGGTGAAAATTTCTGTGACAGTCACAAGCAGCACATCTGAAAAATTCGACAGTACCTTCGGTTCCTGCAGGTAAAAACTCGCAACAACCATCAATAGCGTGGCCTCCAATTCTGGAAGCGTGATTCTTCATGCATTGCTTGTACTCTATTTTAATATTATTGCTTTCAACATTCATTAGATTTTCTTCACCGCTTTCTTCAATTTCCATTTGCTTAGTAAATAAGCAAAGGCTTGAAAAGAAAGCAAACAATGGAATTGAAATCAACATGACTCGCTATTTGAAGAGTAATAATTTGATGAATTTCTCTATTTCTTGTAACTCTATTTGTCTCATAATTTGTATTAGGCCTCCCTGGCTTTAAATAATCAATTACTCAGTACTTTTTTTATTATTTGAAAACTTTTATGTGAAGTATATTAAGTAATTCTCACATAAGAACAAATATATATTCAACTTTTAATTAAGAGACCTAAATTGTTTATAGTGGAGCAATTAAAGATCATGGTTTAGCTGTCATCACATTTTTTATAGAATCTCAAATTTGAATTCAGGTCAAAATATTACCTCTCTTCCGCATACACAAATGTTTATTTGATTATGTATTGTTCACTAGATAAATAACTAAAAAAAATGTTTTTAATAATAATTTTTTTTAAAAATATAATATAATCAAATAATTCAAATATTTAATATATTTGTGCAGAGGGTAGAGTTATTAATTCTCTTTTGAATTTATAATTTTTTTTTTATATATTTAATAAGTAACGCGTCATTAATTTGTTTTCTAGTTATAAATATAATTAAATAATGATGACTCTTACCATTGAAAAGTGGTTTCTTTTACGGCCGAAAGTTAAGTAAAGTATAGTCAAAAAAAATTTCATTCAAAATTTGAACTTATATTTTCAAAACAATTTGTATTTAAGTATATTTTATTTAAAAAATTATAAACTCTAAGATTGTAACACTTTCACTTTTAGTGTCCTTGTGTTCCTGGACAACTATTGCTTGAACGGGTATTTAAGGATATCTTATTAACATTTGAATTTAATATATTGTACGCACACATATATATTGTGATTGCTAAAAGTACAACGGATGATAACCCATTGTGGTGTAGGGTTGTTAAAGAGTTTTGAGGCTCTTGTAATGTTAGAGAAAACTCACACAAGAATGATGAGAAGATATGTACATGGTCTTTTCAGAGTGAATGAGATGATTTTCAGAGTTGAGATATTTATATAGGCCTATTAGGTTTGAATCTTAGGTTTCAAGAAAGTAGTGAAAGCATCACTTTCCCTCAGAAGTGTGGGGTATGGGTAGTCATATGGCCCAGTGGTAAGATTTCAAGCCCATCACCACAAGGTCGCGAGTTCAAGCTTTGTAGGTGACAATCCTTATTTTTTTAACATTAGTTTTTTTTTCTTCATGTTTTTCTCCATTTTTTCTCAATTATTTCTATATGCAAAATTAATTATTTCTTGCTTAAGTGTCTCCATTGAAAAAAACTTTGATTAAATGGTTTGTTTATGTGATACCTTAGGGTTTAATCTTTCTTGATTTTTTTTGAAACAACTTGATGCATAACTAGGGTTTCCACTTGAGTTTGGTTCTTTTAACCCTTAATTCAACCATGTTAAATATCTTCTTCACGTGCTTACCTTGTTAATATGTGAAAATTGTTGACATGATCAAGTATTTCCTTCATAAACTCTCTTTAGGGTTTTGCTTTTGCCTTTACCATGTTCATATAATCCATGATTCATGTACCTCTTTAAACTTGTTTGTGATGTTTCAAATTGATTAAATATTTTCTCACATGTTCAAGTATTTTATTCATAAACTTTCACAATGTCAAAAATGTCGATTTGTTTTATGCTTTGCCTATTATACACATGTCTTGATACCATGCTTAAATTTGTATATTCATTCCATTCTTAATATTTCACTTGTTCATACTTGATAAAACTTATGTGTTAAGTTTATTTTGGCATTAATGTTTAGGTTCATCATAACCTACCCCTTTCTTTAAACTTGGTTCAAACATTAGGATTCCCCTCTAAGATAAACTTCAATCAAACTCTAGCCATCTTTGGCTTCAAACTCAAAACTCTTCTCCAAGATATTAGACATGAGTCATCTATATAGAAGAAATGATTATTCTATCCCCATAATATAAATCAAACTTTTAAAACTTTCTCTTTCATTTAAGAGATGTAAGTGGCCTACTTGTCGATTCTATATCTAAGTTGATGTCCCTATCTTATTATGGTGCAGAGATACTCTTTCATTTAAGTGATGTAAGTGGCATACTTGTTGATTCTATATCCAAGTTGAAGTCCTTTTCTTATTATGCTAAGATCCTTTATCTTTCTATGTTTATGGTGGTATAGTTGAGCAATCCCTCTCAAGATGACAACTTATCTTTTCTCCTAGAAAACCAACAACCATTGCTTTTACCCGTAATTCCCCGAACTACAAAATGCTCTGACTTCCTCTAGGGATATGTAGGCATATGATTGCGAGATCCTAGCATGCACACCTTTTTACTTCCACCCCTCCTTTATTCATATACATTACAAAAAACAACAAAATATTTCCCACTCCCATCACTCACTCAAAACAGTCAATTCTCCCAATCAATAGCAAATAACTTAAGCAAATAACACAAATATTTTAAGAGGTTCCTATAGGATACTATAGATACTTAGGGTGCTAGTACCTTCCCTTTGTATAACCAACCTCGAACCTTTAGATCTCGTATTGCATTGTTTCACATTGCATGTTTATGGGTTATTCTTTCTTTACCTATTTCCTTGGATAAATTAAAGTCCGGTGGCAATGTTTTGATTTGTGAATCAAGTTAATCCAATAGCTTGGTCTCCCGATTCACCCAAAAAATGCACCACAGAAAAATGGCGACTTTACTAGGGAGTCACTCCCCAAAAGAGGGTTAAGTATGTCTTATTATATTTGTCAATATATTAATTGCTTGTATTTATTTGGGTTCTTGGTTGATCTCTATGAGTGAGACAAATCCTAAGTGTACATAAATAAGATAGGATGTTGGTATAATCAAAAGTTACATGTCTGGAGTAATCCTACGCATGAGTAACATATGATATAACCACACTTAGTGGAGGCCCCTTTGGAACTACTGATGTCATTTGCGAGTAGTCATAATGCCATTACTTTTTCCAAACTGGGAGCCTGAGAAGCTGGGGACCTTAGTATCCCTTTACCCCACTTAGAATTTTTAAGATGTAGTGTGGTGATTATCTAGATGTAGATCTGAGATAGTTGATACGCGATACTACACTCAGACGAGTTTCTCTTGAGAATATTATTGATTCCCGAGTAATCGGTGTGTCGATAATATCCAGAAAATGGATTTATTACTCTGGGAACCTTGATAGAACCCGTTATACATGTACAATAAACTCATAGTACATATCTCTTATGATGGTTAGACCCATGACTCCATGCTCGTGATGTCGAACCTTTAAACCCACATGTTTGTAACTTTGTGTGTCTGCATCCATACATTCATTCATTCATTAAACATCATTTTTTCAACAAAAAAAATCATTCAAGGAACTTAAAACATTTATTGCAAATATCGTAGCTTTTACCATGAAATTTGAGAAAAGAAACAATAGGAAGTACATTTTTAAAGATCCTGATGTAACAGAATTGAGAAAGTTAGGTTGAATTATCTCTTGTCCAGAGGATTTCAGAAGAAGCTATAGAAGACTTTTGTGTATTATGAAGACTAATATTGAAGATGGGATTCTTGAAACTCTTGTGCAATTCTATGACCCGTTCTACTATTGTTTCACATTCCCAGATTATCAACTTGCACCAACTTTGGCAGAGTATTCATATTGGGTTAGCTTGCCAGTGTTAGACAAAATTCCTTTCAATGGTTCAGAGGAAATTCCTAAGTACTCAGTCATTGCAAAAGATCTTCATTTGGAAACTTTAGATATAAAAGACAACTTTACCTCCAATGGAGGAATTTAGGGTTTAACTTCCAAGTTCTTGATAAGGAAAGCTACAGACTTGGCTAAAGAAAATAGTATGGAGGCATTTGAAATTATCTTTACGCTACTCATCTACGGTCTTGTGCTATTCCCAAACGTCAATCACTATGTTGATGTTAATGCTATCAGAATATTTTAAAGTGGTAACCCAATACCTATTCTACTTGGAGACGCTTATCATTCTATTCATCACAGGACCAAGAAGGGTGGTGGAATGATCATATGTTGTGCATCCTTGTTGTATAAATGGTTTCAGTCAAAGTTACCTCAAACTAGGCTCTTCACAGAGAATCCAGACAAACTCAGGTGGTCTCATAGGCTTATGTCTCTCTCTCTCTCTCATGCAAATTTGAACTGGTATGACCCAACTTATGACACATGAGTTATCATTGACAGTTGTGAAGAGTTCCCTAATGTACCTCTTATTAGTATACATGGGGGGATTAATGATAGCCCCGTTCTTGCAAGACGTCAGTTTGGGTACCCCATGAAAGGCAAGCCTAGTAACCTTTTGATATCCGGTTTCTTTTACCTTAATTAATGAGGAGATCCATATTTGAAAAGAAGAGTTATAAATGCTTGGAACAACATTCATAGGAAAAGCAGAGATCAATTAGAAAGGAAGAACTGTGTTGCTTTTGAACCCTACACTCAATTGGTACGCACCAGAGCTTGTGAAATCAAGATGCCTTATTCTCTTAAGAAACCTTCATTACCTTTTGATATAACATCATCATCTACCATTCCTATTGAGAACAAAGAGGAGTATCAAGAACTCTTGACTAGGATGAAGTTGGTGAGAGACACTTGGGAAGGAGAATATCATGCTTCAATAACCGAGAAGAGAGGGTTGAATAAACAACTAAAAGAAAAGGACGACTTGATTGAGATACTTGAGCAACATGATGTGGAAAGACAAGAAAAGCAAGAGAATTTATTTTTCTCTAGTAGTATCTGTTGCACCCTAAAATTTGCTCAACCTACTTCACTTGGTTTATGTCCCATAGCTTTAGCATTTGCATATTAGGTCATGTACATAATTCATTCATCTGCATAACATAGCATGGGCAAGCCATCCAACAAGGGATCAAATGCAATTATTATCTCTATGGGCATATCAAGAGATTCTCATTCAAATTCAATCTTAGCCAAGTCATCAGAAAGAAATTGAAATCTAAGAAGTCAGTGGATCAAGCAGTGGATCTATCTCCTATCTTAAGGGTA